CTATAATCAGGTAAAATTTTATTCCATTTAAAATGTTTTAAGTTATGTATTCGGATGCGAGTGTGCATGTTAGATACGGGTGTGTATTGACACGAGTATAGTCAGAGTTCTCATGTATCTGAAGAATTCTTGGAGGTCATATTTTCCTATCCATCTGTCAAACATATGTGTACTTTAACAATCTGATGAAGTCCTCAATTTGTTTTTTTTCTTTTTTTGATCTTTCAGTTGGCTACCAACACACTGGAGCGGGTGGCACCACTTACTCATGCAGTGGGAAATGTGCTGAAACGTGTTTGTCATTGGCTTCTCAATCCTGGCCTTTGGTAAGTTCATAATTTCGTAGAGTCCGTGATTTTCTTTCTTCATTTCAGGATACAATCATATCTGGCAATCTCTACTTGGTGCAGGAAACAAGATTTCAACCCAGACAGGTATTGGAACAGCCATAGCAATTGCTGGAGTGGCAGCCTACTCCTTCATCAAGGCCAAGATAGAAGAAGAGAAACGAGTGAGTAAAATACATTTGACAAATACATGATTCATGAGCAAGTAAAAAACTGTCTTAATTTGATGTTGTTGGAGAGCCGAACATTCAAATTATGTGTCGGTTCTTCAAGGACGATTCTACGTGCTCTGATACTACGAAATGCGATTTTCTGTTTGCAGCAAATGAAAGCAGCATGAGAAGGAAAGAGAGAGGCATGGAAATGGAGGATGTCCTAATGGTGAAGTTTTCTTCCCTTTTCCTTCTACCCATCATTTTTTAATTTCAGAGACAAATCATTTGTAACTTTGGATCAGCCTGTGTTGACTGATAATGTGTACTGTTATCACATATAAGTATTCTCTCAAAATAAGCTTTTCCATCAGAAGCTTTTTCACACAGGAGTTGAACAGAATATGTGCCGAAAATAAAGTATAAATCATGTGAATAGTATTTGTATTTTCAGCATGTAGAGAAGTTTTAAAGGCTATATACTGATTTAGAAGTCTAATCCAACCAATGAATAGGTGTAACAGAAGTCAAAATCTTACAGCAGATCCACCACTAATTAATGAGCCATGAGACATCATCATAATCATGCAACAATTTAGTTGCGATTAAGATGGAAGATCAATATTATCTGTTAATAATTTTGTTTGCTAGTTCTGGATTCATGTATGTCCGTGGTTAGTGATGGCAACAGTTGCGTTGGTTGGGTTAAATTTTTAATCGAGTTGAATTAGATCCGAATTATACTCTTCATGTAACACTTTACTTTGGATTATGGAAGTTTTATCCGACCCAAAATTCGACCCATATTGAGGGTACAAATCTCCATAGTCTGATTCAAATATACAAAAAAAGTTCATATCGATAAAACAAATGTTTTAAAAATGTATATAGAGATATATAACAATTATCTATAAATATATAGAGTTTAGCTATACTATTATTTCGAGTCAGTTCAAATAAAATGTTTTCCCCAAACTCAATTTGATTCGTACCCAATTTTTAGAAAATATGATCCTATAAAGTCAAACCCTAAACCTTTTGTTGACTAATCAACTTAATTTAACATTAAGAGATAATTTACAGTTTATTGACAACGTACACTACCATATAGACATATGGATTGGAATATGAGTTTTTTAAAGAAAAGCAATAGTTTCTTTTACCACTAAGACTACTCAATGAGTTATTATCATGTATCTTAATTCACACTTATGTATATCAATTAACCCCTATTGAAATTATAAGTAATTTATAAATATTTAAAGAATATTTTAAATTTTGATGCAGCTCAAAGTATAGTATAATCAGAAATCCTTGTAGTTTAGTTGTTAATTTAAGTTTTAAATTATAATATAAATTAACATGAAATATATTTTAAATGCGTCGATAGATGCACATATATTTATTATGACTAATTTGGATCTCTAATGTTTTAAAAACCAGAAATCATCAACAAATTTAGAGAATATATTAATCAATACGTTTTAAAATTTAGAACCTATTTAAAATTTGAACTATAATTCAAGACGTATATTGTGATTAACCCTAATCGTACTGTAGAATCGGTCCATTTTTTTTAGCCAAAATTCATAGGTGGACTAGGTTGTACCCTTTGAGCCAATAGAAGGGGTCCAACAACAACATAACTCAACACCCATCGCCTACCGTTCGATTGCCGAACCACAAGAGATTCTCTTCAGCCACCCACACCAACACACCACGAACACAAAGCACATTTAACTAAAAAAAAAAAAGTTGGGATTAATTGTCAGTGCCAAAAAAAAGAAAAGAAAAGAATTTATTATGGAATTTGTAATCGGTCTCAAGAGAAAGACTATTGTTTTTGTTGTTGTTGTTATTGTTCAGTTCCTAATTTTCACTTTATCTTATTTCCTTCTGTTTTCTTAATACAATTATTAATTCTTTTAGTTTCTTTTAATTCATTGTTCTTCTTTGAAAACAATTCTCACCCTCTACTTTCTTGACTTTCACGATTTCGTGTTTTTTAGAGAGAGAAGGACAAGAGTAAGAAGAAAAAAAGAGTGAGAAAGAGGGGGAAATCAACCTTTTTTTTTGTTGACACTAAATTTGTGATCTTTGATTTCTTGGTCTTCTTCAATGGAGCCTGGTTCGGAAGGAGAAAACGATCAGGTGAAAACTCCGAACAAAACCGGTAATAGTTCCAATGAAGGTAACGCGAAGCCTAAACGACAGACGAAGACTCCGTTTCAGCTCGAACTCTCGAAAAAGCCTATGCTCGTAGTTATTCACCTCTCTCCTTGAGAATTGAGACGATCATGATTGTGAAATGGCAAGAGAAATTCCATGCCCTGTAATTTCATGGTTTTAGACTTTAGAGCCATCGGATAGAATTCTGTTCATATATATTTTTTAATCAAGTAGTTGATTGATCCTGAAATACTGTTAACCTTATGAAAGGTGATAAAGATCCTATCCTTCAACTATCATATTGTTTTTTTTTGAATGTTTAGACTTGCTTACAATGTTGACCTTGGGAGGGGTTAAAAGGATCTCAGTGATGCAATTTAATTCTAATTTTTCAAAAAATGAATGCATGGATCCAGTCTAAACCTTATTTATGCTTTTCATGCCAATATGAGGTGGATGAAAGACCAATAATGGTTTGTTGTTTCACTCAGATTGCAATGATGATGTATGATGAATGTTGGCGAGTTCGGGCAAAGCTTTTGATAAATGCACCCTAAGACAAGGCAGTGGGATAAACCTTTTATAGGGTCTTTAAATACTTTCTCTGTCCACAAATTTAACAAGTTGACGAGTAAGATTCTTATTGGTCAACAAATTGGAAGGAATTAAATCATAAACCAGTGCCTTTGAAGGTACTGCGATTGAAAAATAGGATCAGATAATGAATGATCATGTTTTGTTCTTTTTATTAATGTTTGATACAGTTAAATGTCACTAAATTCGATCACTGTCTTTGAAAAGTTGAATTTCATGCTTATTTTGACTAATTTGTGGATAAAATGGCGACTCATTTCTATTACCATGCACCTATTTGTTGTACTGTAGATGGATGATTTTTTTTTTGGATAAGTAAGATTTATTATCCAAATAGCAAGAATTAAAAAAATAATAGAATCAAAACAGTTACATACAAAAAAGAATCAATAAGAATCAATGGTCTGTAATATTCCATTGATTACAGAGGTTAATATTCACAGTAAGCAGTCGATTAAAAGTCCTACTCTTTAAGTGAAGACTAACAATCTCTTTAATTGCCTTAAGTAAGTCTTCAACAGACCTTGAACGCCCTTGGAACAAACGTTGTTCTCTCTTCCCATAACAAGTACACTAAAGTGTTCAAAGCCAGCTTCATAACCAAGGAAAGCAAGGATTTTCCTTTCCAGTAAATACAAGCCTGAGACATGAAGTCATCCCAGGTGCAGGCAGTAAAGATCAAACCTGATAAAGAAGATGGACTCCCAAAGGGAAGCTGCAATAGGACAAGAAAGGAATAGGTGGTCTCTTGATTCAGGTCTGCAGAACAAAGAACACAAATGCGATCAACCTTGTAGGACTTTGATGCATGTATTCTTCATGGACGAATGTGAAAATCCGATGTATTTACAGCATTTTGTTCTGTGAGCAACTTGAAATACACCAGTTTCCTGTTCTGATAAGTTATATTCCAGATGTTCTACCTTGAATAATTGCAGCTCTTCGTGTCATTTGTTCATGATCAAAATTACGGGTGTAAATGAATAGAGCATTGATGAATTATTTATAAATCATATAACGTTCGTTTATTAAGTCAAATAAATGAGAATGAACAAAATTTATGTTCATTTAATAAACAAATGAATACGAATAAATGTTTTAAATATCGGTGAAGATAATGACTAAACTAAACATAAAATGAATTTTAGAGTTCAACTGTGAATTTTTTATATGTTTACAAACGTTAAATGAATATGTTCGTGAACGTTAAATGAATTGAACATGAACAATTCAAAAATAAAAATACAAACACAATAAATTTAAACAAAAACAAATAAACGTTAATAATTTTAAAATAACAATGAACATAAAAATAATTTTATTTATTTAAATTTGATTCATTTACCCCTTTTAAATTAATAAATGAACATACAAATATTTTATTCGTTTAAATTAGATTCATTTACCATCTTTGGTTGAAGTAGCGTTGTCGTCCGACTCGAGCAGAGCGGGTAGTGCTCCTAGGCTATTGTCTAAGTGGGAGAAAAACAAAATCGTATAGATGCATAATTTTGCTTAACGATGAGCGTCTAGGTCACTCGGAGAATGAAGGGAGTGGGGAAAGAGAGCTGTCGGGTGAGATTGATACTAGATGGCAGAGCCTACTCATGTGGACAGCGAGCTGGCATTCGAGTGCCATAATTGGAGCAATGAAATGTGTCGAGGTGTGGTTGGGCAGTGTGAGAACATCATTTAGTCGTTGCGAGCGGTTCAATGGGGGAATTTAAACAAAGGCGTGGTTTGTGTGCTTTGTAGAAAAGCCTCAACAACACGGGCCCGTCGAAGACCGGTCATCGACAAAGTTCATTTCTTTAATAATCCCAGTGTGCAGAGAGTCACCCATGGCGGCTAAACGGTGATGTTGAGCTGAAGCTAAAGCCTGAAGGCCAACGATGGTGAGAGGCGAGGTTGAGATCCAGAGAGAGAGGCGGCGAAGATGATGATGGTGTGTTGGGGAAGTTGGTTTAGCTTTGGAACCACGAAGGGATCGGGCGGCGCCGTCGTAAGCGCGTGCAGCTTCGTCCGGTGTGTCGAATGTACCCAACCAAACCCTTGTCTTCTTCCATGGATCGCGTATTTCGGCGGCGTATCTTCCCCATGGTCTCTCCCTTACTCCCCTGTAGTGTCCTCTTGAAGACGACATGAGAGGACCAAGCGAAAAGAAAAAACGAAGCTTTTGGCTATAGAATTATTTAGACAGAGAGAAGAGAGAAGCCTGAGATATTAGTAACCCTTTCCTCTAACCCCTCAATTCTCTTTCATAATTATATGGGTGTTTAACTGTTTTCTCCATTTCCTCACTAGTCCATATAACATATATAAAATTTAATGGAAAAATACACAAATAGTCCATCTACTATAGGATGGTGTTTTGTTGAATCATATATTGTAAGTTACAAAATGATTCATTGACTATAAAGTGTTGTTTTGTTGAGTCATTCGATAATTAAAAGTTATAAAATAGTTATTCGACTACTCATATATTTCAAACTTATCATTTTTCGTTAAAAAATTGACAATCGTTTGAGCTTGACGTTAACCTGTTCACCGAAATATGATAAAATCTGATCTTAGAATTATTTGAGTTGTATTTTGTGGATCGAGTCTCTGATTACATTATGTCGTCAAGCTAGAGCTTGAAAGCAACTAGTAGACATCATTTTAACATAAAAGGATGAGTTTGGAACATATAAATAGTTGAGTGATTATTTTATAAATTTTAATAGTTCGAAAACTCAACAAAGTAATGTCTTATAATCAAAGAATCATTTTATAATTTTTAATAGTCGATAGACTCAACAAAGTAACATCCTATAATCAGGAGACCACTTACGTACTTTAGCCAGAATTGAAAATATACTAATGACTAAGATGTTTATAGGATTTTTATTAAATATTTTTAATTAGTAAATTTGTAAGAAAACATTAGACATAAACGGGTGGCCATGAGTTATAAACAGAAAAAACAAGTGTATGGACACCAGGGTTGCATTTCTCTATATATACGCAACTTGTTGTATATAGATGGTGAATAGTTGTTCGTACCGGCATCCGGTTTGGGCCATACAAGATGGAGAGGACAAAACAAGTGTATGGACACCAGGGTTGCATTTCTCTATATATACGCAACTTGTTGTATATAGATGGTGAATAGTTGTTCGTACCGGCATCCGGTTTGGGCCATACAAGGATGGAGAGGACAAAGTCTCTTATTTTCCTTATATGGTTCATGTTGTTGAATGGCAATCTCTTATTTGAGGTGGATGCTTCGAAATCCAAAGCCAAAGCCAAAGCCAATTACAAGTACAAGCTGATCCACAGGCATTCACCTGAGCTAGGACACCATCCAAAATCTACCCTTGGACGCCCAATCAATGGAAGGGAACGCATAAAACAGCTGGTGCATAGTGACTATGTCAGATATCGAACCTTTCAACGGAGGCTAAAACGGCCAGGGCGGGAGACCTACGAGCACATGAACCCAAATCACGATTTGGTGGAGCTCGCAATGCGCTCGGCGGCGGATTTAGGGGCTGGCAATATTTCATTTCCAGAATCGGAACCCCACTAAAGAAGTTTTTGATGTTGGTGGATACAGGAAGCGATCTTACATGGATCCAATGCAGAAAAAATGTAGTAATTGCACCTTAGGTAAGAAGAAGAAGAAAGTGAGGTTTTATAATCCTAATGAATCACGTACCTATAGGCCGATCCCATGTTCCTCAAGCTATTGCAGTACCGAGCTCATGCCATTTAACTCATTGATAGATTGCCCTACGCCAGATTCTGCATGCAGGTATGATACTCAGTACGTAGATGGCCAAAGGGTGTGGGGAACCTTCGGCAACGACACCATTACAATCAAGATGAGAGGCAGCCAAAAGGTAAAACTTGAGAATATGACGATCGGGTGTTCCGAGTCGTTAATCTCACAAACATTCGAACTCGACGGTTTATTAGGATTAGGTTGCATCGTTCAGTCTTTCACTGGGCAAGCAGTAAAGAAGTCTGATAAGAAATTTTGCTACTGCTTGGTGGATCATTTGAGCCCAAGTAATTTGTCCAGCTACCTTGTCTTTGGTGACGGAGAGAATCAGCTCCCAATATGCAAGAGACGGAGTTGCTTCTCGGAGCATGGTATTGGAGCACACATTATCATGTAAATGTCAGCGGCATCTCACTCGACGGCAAAATGTGGATATCCATCAGATGTGTGGCTATACGATCCTCGTGGTAGACAAGGTGGGATGATTTAGACACAGGTACATCGTTAACAGCCCTCGCCGCACCGGCATACGATAAAGTCATGGAAGGCCTCTTACCTTCTATAGGCAAATTCAAGAAATTGAGGAGAGATTGGCCAGGTCAGACGCCGGGACATTGTTTCAATTCCACGGGGTTCAAGGAGACTATGGTGCCTAGATTAGCGATCCATTTCGCCGATGGAGCTAGTTCGAGCCACGGTGAAAAGTTATGTATCGACGAACAGATTTGAAGTGCCTTGGGTTTACCAAGTTTGATACGCATGCAGTTTCCATCATCGGTAATTTTACAACAAAACCATTATTGGGAGTTCGATATGTGGAATCAAAAGTTGAGATTTGCTCCTTCTAGCTGCGCATTTGATTGACCATCACGACCGTTCCCAATATGTATTGCATATTGAATCACTCTAATCGGAATTATAACTCCAATTTATGCTTATAAATATTATTTGACGGCTTAAACTTTCTTCTGTCAAATTCCAATCAAGTTTTTATGAGAGATTTTTTTTTAAATATTCATTTTCATATATCTTTAGATCAATCATAATAATTATTATTTACTATTTTATACATTAAACGACCAAAAGAAACCCACAAGGAAGCAAGAAAAAGGTGCGTAATTAAGATCGACAGAAGAGAGAGAGCATGCTCACAAACCATATAGTTTTACATCTAAAATTTACTTCTAGATGAGCATTGGAAAAGGCATTCCTATGTATGGGTTTCATGGTAAATTCGAGGGTGGGCCATAAGTTTAATAATTTGAACCTTCTCCATGATATTCCGATGAGATTTTCCGGCGTCGTTCATTGTGCCCGGCCAAACGCCTTCGACAACTCCTTTTTGTTTTGTCGAACTCCGATATTTTATGAAACCTGCACTATCATAGTCATCGTTTTAAAGATATCATTAATTTTGGGTTAATTTTGTTGGAAAAAAATTTCTTCAATAACATTTAGATCAATTTCTAATTCAAATCTCTAGACTATCGATTTTTTTTCTAACAAATCTTAAATATGAAAAAGTCGTATAAATGATTAATCACGCCTACAAAAAAAATATAAGTGACGTCTCCCTCGTAGAAGATCTCATATTTTAGTATATCGTGTTTAAAAAAAATAAAATTCATTTTTAATATTTATTTAAATGATCATTTTGATCATATAATTGATGACGTAATATATGTCATTTCATCACTTTGGTGACATAACATATATACACATAAAAATGTCACGTCGATAATATATATTAACCGTTGATCAACTAATAATTTCCATTCGATTGAGACTATTTTAACCAAAAATTTAAATGTTTAAAAAATTTAAACATCTAAAAAATTAAAAGTTAAAATAATTATTTATACAATCAATAAAGACTAATTTTATCATTGTTCCAAAAAATTAATAATCTTCCTTGATAGACGGCACGTGATTTGCATCAATACATTCAATCCAAGTCAACTTTTTTATGGTACCCTCAAGTCAACATTTTTGAACAATGGTGTAGAGTGTGTGGTTCAATTACAAATTTAGGAGAAGAAAAATTGTTGAGAGGGATAGAGAATATGGATGGATTAGGGTACGATTGTCTTTTTAAAAAAGTTTAAAATTTTATATAAAATTTTAAACTTTTAGTGTTAATTTAATTTCGTAATTTCCTTAAATTTTTACTATAAAATTGTAAGTTTGTATATTCTGATAAAAGAATAATGTATCAATCCATATCTGTTTTGTTTCAAGTACATCTTTTTCGCATAATACTGAAAAGTTTAGGGTTTATAGAAAACTCAAACCTGCTACATTGTTGGCAAAAGCGTTGATGGATCCCAGCAATTCGAACCACGGGAGCCTTGGCATGGAACTCGCACACCTTATGTCGTCGATGGTACGGCTTCGCGTCTGTCATGTCGGCGGTGCAGTCTTGGACCTGGCAGCCGGATAGGGTTGACCCACCGGAGTATCCTCTCTTGCCTCTCTTCTTCTTTTCGTCTTCTCCTGTGGTGCTATCTTCTTCTTCATCCGCCATTAGCCTCCTCTTGCCTTCGGCTTTGGTCGTTGCCATTTCTGGGCTTTGCTTCAAAGGAGAAAGCAGAGATGGATTGTATTTATAGGAAGACACAACAATGGAGAAGAATAAGAAAAAGGACTCGCTTGAGAGATAAGGAAGGTTAAAGAGAGAAGAGGAGAAAATCATGTATGAGGACCATAAAGTTCCATTACTGTCCCTGTCACCATTAGCTCAACAGTTGGAAAAAAGGTAGAAATGCTCTATGGAATTAAGTTAGCTCACAAGTCACAAGGGCAAAAATCATAGCTGTACATATCACGGTTGAGTCGAATTCATAAAATTTAAAGTTTGAATCTTAATAATGAAAAAAATAGAAATAAAAAAGGTTAGTATTATTCAATCAAACAATCACGGTACGATTATTTGTAGTTATTAACGAGATGAAACGAGTTTTCCTTAATATTATTGATCAAACAATCATAATTATATTCAATTTAATTAATAATAAATTTATATATTAATTAAATCTTTAAAATAATATCATATTATCACTATAACACTTAGAGACAACAACTAATAGTATTAATATTATTAAAATAAAAAATAATTAATATGTACTTGGATTATTAAGAAATAATAGAGATAGTCGATCAACATATTAAATATTAGTTAAATAAAAAAATAATGGAGATATCCATGATTTACACTAACCCCTTCTTTTAATTTCCTTCAAATTTTCTAAGGCAGCTGTTTTGGGGGCCAATCAGATAGCAATAAATTCATCACGTTTAAAAAAAAACAATTAAAGAGAGAGAAAAAAGAAAGGTAATGACAGATTCGTCCATATCAAGCTTTGTTGCGCTTTGACTTGGTCTCTTTTGTATCATTGATAATAATGTAAAATTAGATGAACTTTTATACAATTTCGTATATTTTTTTATTTAGAATTATTTTAGTTATTAACAATATACATATCTCACAAATTATTGATATCATTTACCTGAAATAGGGACAGTTTGCAGGCAAACATGTAACGTAGTGTGATTGAAGGCGAAAGGGTTAAAACCCCTTTGGAAATGGTCCTTTGTTAGCTTCAAGACGAACCCCCCCCCCCCCTCAAGTATCATCATATAGAAGTTTTCTCTCTCGATCCCTTTGTTTTCTGAAATTGGTGTTTAGCCAGCCAACGGGGTTGCAGATAAGTGGGAAGGTAGCTAAAAGCCCCGGTCTGCTATTATTTCCACGGTCGAGAAAACTGACCACCTCGTCTCGTACATTATCGTGTAGATTGGTCCCCATTGCTAATTTGTACGAGGTCATGGTCAGAGCAGTGGTTCCGTCAATTCAATTGGAGGAAACCATGCGGCAGTTTGGTTCACGTTGCTGTCAGGCTTCTGTACTAAGGGACCCCTCCACCATTCATTAGAGATGGTTGGTTTGCTATTAGTGTTGTTATACCTCTTTAATATCCTTCACTTTGTACATTAAGAATAACTTGGGACCTCTTATAATAAAATACAATAATTCAACTCACACAAAGTTGAAATAAAGTAAACATAAACATCCTTTTAATTTTAGTTTTTTTTATTATTACCCCTAATAAACATGAACATCAACCATTAGACCAACATCAAATCATGATTATTGTATAGTACAAACATTTAGCCAAAAAAAAAAAAAACAAGATCAAACTCATTTCAATACTTCCTCTGATCACCTTCTCTCTCAACACGCGTCCTCAAATCCACAACATCTTCATCCATCTTCTCCTCCTCGTTCTTCCCGACCATCGTCTCCTTTATCTTTGACCCGTCCCCCTAGTCGCGTCCCTCTCTTGGGCCGTCTGCTTCGCCTTCTCGGCCACGGAACCAGCGATCTCCTCGGTCTTCTCCATCACACCCTGTGCTCCCTCCTTAGATTTCTCCTTCCATTCGTAGCTTCGCCTTCTCGGCCACGGAACCAGCGATCTCCTCTTCTCCATCACACCCTGTGCTCCCTCCTTAGATTTCTCCTTCCATTCGTACGCAGTTTGCGAAGCCTTCTCGGTGCCTTCTTTGGCCTTATCTTTCGCGCTTTGGGCAGTCTCCTTTGTATCCTTCGCATACTCTCTAGCTTTCTGTCTCGTTTTCTCGTTGGCGCTTCGGGCAGTCTCCGCCGTCCTGTCCGTCATTTCTTTCGCTTTATCCGCCGCCTTCCCGGCTGTTTCTTTGTTTTCTCCTTGGCGTCGTGTGCGTAATCTTTCGCCCTTTCCATGGCTTCATCGGTGGCGTCCTCATCGGACGAGGTATCCCCCTGTAGGCAAACTCAGCTTCGGGTTCGTATTTCATATGCATCTCTTCCCTGAAAATCAAAATGAAAACGGTATAATTTCAGTTTTACTCCCTCTTAAAATTTATTAACTCAAACCAATCCTTCACCTCAGGGCGTTTGGAGGCGGTGGTGGTGAAGCAGATTCGTGAGACTTTGGCAGAGGATCGAAGAGAAAGGGTTTTAGGGAACGATTTGGAAAGCTGGAACATGCCAGTCTTAGCAATCAACGAGGCAGCCATTGTTGATCTTTAAGTTTCTCCTTGCGAACGGTTCTTCTTTGAGTATATGCTTTTATCTCTTCCTTCTTTCTTCTTCTTCTTTTACATAAATCTTAGCCATGCAAATACCAACTATATGGAGGCGAAGCAGGAAGGTGGCAGCGTATTGAGTGACAGGTTTCAGCATCAATGCCACGTGTTGGACGCGTGTAAAGTGTAATGTTCTAGGGTTCTGGAAGGTTCAACAATCAACATGTTGCTTTTCTCTTCCCTATGTTATTTGGTAAAAAAATAAAACTCGTAAGAAAACTAGTTTGGTATTTTCTTAATAAATTTATGCCGTATTCTTTTTGCTTTAATAAACGGTAGAAATATAGGCAAAGGATTTTAGACGTTTAAGCTAAAAAAATAGGAGAGTAAGATGTTTACTTCAAAATGATTAAGTGTTGAATAATTCAAATGTTGAATGATTCAGATGTTCTGTATGAATTAATTCTGAATGTGACATGCTGTTTGATAATGACTCTAAATAATTCAGAATTTTAGAATGTACTTCTGTACTGAATCATTTAGTACTGTTTTGTTGAATCAATCAACACTGAATCATTCAGAGGTGCGAAACAAACGCGCTGAATGCTAAACGCCGTTCAGCATTCAACGCTGAATAGTTCCATTAAAAGACAAACAAACAGCCCCTAAATGAATAGCCTTTTATCGCATAAAATTATCTTCAGGTTCATTTGTTTACTTTTAAAAGTATTTATGTATTATTGTATTTATTTATTTTTAAAGTATTTGTGTTCGGTTAGTTTAGTGTTCATGAAGATATCGTTTAACCTTCGTGAACATATTTATTTATATGTTTAAACATATTTATATATATGTCACATATTTATTAATATTCGTGAATATATCATTAACGTTCACAAACTTGTTGGTTATACATTCTCTTTTTATCCTTTTATTGTTAGTTAAGAAAAATAATGAAATTACGCCACTAGTCTTTTAATCTCCTTAAATTGTATATTTTAAAATTCAAATTTTATCTTGTGTACAATTTAATCCTTACATTCACTAGTATGAAAAATACAAAAAAATAAAATAAAAGGAAACGGAGAGTGGTTAAATGAACTAATAAACAAGTCGATAAATGAGTTTTCAAATGAGTTTGTTTATGAACATAAATAAATCGAACACATCTCTATATGTGTCTATTAGTATATTAATGAATGTTGGGATTTGCAGAAGCTCGAATTGACAATCGAAAAGTGCAAGAGGGATGAATTGGCAAAAATTGTTTAGGGAGTAAGCAGAGTAGAAAGATAGAGAAATTTAGCACAAAGATTTATAGTGGTTCGACTTCTCAAATAAGTCTACCTCCACTACCTAAGCTTATACTTAGGATTTTCTAATAAATTCACTAATTTGTTCTTTCTTTTTAAAGGATCAAAAGATAATCTTTACACTCTCTAACTTTTCAAAGGCTCAGCTAGAACTAAACCCCTTTTACAAAAGGAAAAACAAGAAAATCCTTACGAGGTATGCGTTTACAAATTTAAGCTCACTAAAACACAATATTTACAAGAGAATAGAAAAATAAGAATGGAAAATTCTTCTCTTGTGTTTGATTGCTTGGATAGGTGTTCTAACACTTCTTCAATTTTTGTATAAAATAAAACTGCCTAGAACAGAGGGTATCGATACTCTTAAAGGGAGTATCGGTACTACCTTGTTTATATTTAAATCAACTAATGTATAGTCGTTGGGGCCTGATGGTATTGATACTATACTTATGGGTATCAATACTACTATGTAAAGTAATATCGATACCCCTTTGGGTACCGGTACTAGTTTGCATGTTATACATAGCACAAGCATCGTTTAGCATTTAGCACAAGCACAATAATGTAGGCTTAACTGTCCTACATTAATTGTGGCTGGCAAAGATTGATCTTCAAGTTAAGCCACCTGTGGGGTGAAGTAAACCAGAGTTTAAAAAGAATATCATTGAGAAGTAAGGCATCTTCTTAGGAATAACAAGGAGGAATATTAACAGAATCCCCAGGGCAGAACCAATACGAATAATGCAATATCGATGAAATACGCAATGATGAGCTCTATATAGATCTCGGTTCCTTCAAAATATTTGAATCTACCAGTACATGAAAATGAGGTTCTGGGTTCACCTCCCATGGTGTTCATGCTTCTGCTTCACCAAGAGCAAGAAGAGCAACAACACACAAGGTTAAGGAAGCAAATGGTGATTCCTAGGGGGAAGAAGGATGTTTTTACAATGATTTGTTCATTTCCTATTCATCCTTTTTTTGTCATTTCACTCACAAAGATGTCCGTGACAGGCACTATAGGTCCTGATTTGAACACGGGGTACCTTGAGGATGCTCGTGATATTCGAAGATGACAATTTCGATTTGTGGTAACGACACAAACCATTGCATGAATTAGTAACAAATTTCATCAACGATGTAAAGTTTAACGAAATGAAAAATATTCATTTACTTGATTGGTTCTTATTGATTATCAATAATGATCATTGGTAGCTATTGTCAGTTCAATCTACAGCTATTACAAACCAAGGTTCTGGCTCCTTTCATTTAATCTACTTTCACTCGTTCCAAAACAAAACAAAACAAAACAAATTTCATTGGTTTGTAATTTGGCTCTGGGCAGTATCTTGCTAAATTTCATTCATTCACGCACATGATT